TCCATCTATCTTAAATAGAATACGGCATATGTGCGGAGAAGGAGCTTATAAACCGTAGGCAGGAGAGATGCAGCAGTCGTAGGTGGTGTCACATTGTCTAATTTATCAACGTGTCGGTTCTCTGAACCGACACTGCAACTTCTTGGGATCTTAATACTTGGGAATTCTTCGCTTGCCTAACCCTTGGGCACGACCTACTTCCAAGATACCCAAGAGTTGCACATGTGTCTAATTTATCAAGGTGGTGGTAATAGTGGTGGTGGTGCCACGGCCACGCATGACTCACCAGCCCAGGCAGAGACCCATGCTGCTGACTCATCAGATCCAGGACAAAGCAGAGCATCATCCACCACCACACCACAACCACAACTACAACCACAACCAGCTTATGATGTTCAGTATCCACCAGCAAAACGCATCTGGGATTGGCAGCAAAATCCCAATTTTGTTCCCAATCTCCATCAGTTTGACGACTCTCAAAGTGGAATCCTACCAGCTTGCTCCCTTGGAAACACTGCAAATGAACTAGAATTCTTTGAACTATTCTTTGACCAGCCCTTGATGGAAATTATTGTCAGGGAAAGTAACAAGTATTTTGAATACACCATGGCAAATACGATCATATCACTACAGTCAAGACTACACCGGTGGAAAGAGACAACTGTGGCTGAAATGTATTTGCTTTTTGCAACAATAATGCTTATGCCTCATGTCTATAAGCATAATATAAAATCATACTGGTCCACAGATCGGCTAATTTGTACCCCGGTCTTCAGTGAAATCATCCCAGTGAACAGGATTATCTTACTGTTATGAATGTTGCACTTCTCTGACAAAACCAGGCCTGACAGAAATGACAGGTTATACAAGATTAGAAATGTTTTTATGCATCTGAAACAAAAGTTCAACATGTACTTTTATCCATTCAAAAATCTTGTTATTGACGAGTCTTTGATTTTGTTCAAAGGTAGACTGTCGTTCGAGCAGTATATACCGAGCAAGAGGAAACGCTGTGTCTGTGACTGTGACAGTGGCCTGGTATTGGATATAATTGTATACACGGAAAGTAAAACATTGAAAGATACCAGGATGTTACTGGGTATCTCAGATGACGTAGTGAGAAACACGATGACACCTTATCTTGGTAAGGGGTATACATTATATACTGTTAATTGGTACACAAACCCTTTACTCTGTGATTTCTTGTGAGTGAGCATGACAGATGTGTGTGGCACAGTGCATTCTAATCATAAACATATGCCCAGGTTCAACGCAGGCAATCATGGTAGTGAGGTGCAGGTGTTTGCTGCCAATGACATCATGGCATTACAGTGGCATGACAAACGAGATGTCATATTGTTGACAACCATTCACCTAATAAAATTGAAAGACAGTGGCAAAGTTGATACACTGACTAATGAACGTATTCTAAAACCAGTAACAATGATTGATTATACACAAAAACATGCGTTTGGTTGACAAATGTGACATGCAGATTGGCTTTGTTGATTGTGTTCGTAAGAGTTACAAATGGTACATGAAACTTTTCTTCCATCTCATGGGCATTTCAATGCTCAATGCATATAATATGTACCAAATGAGGTCCAGCAACAGACCACTGTATGGTGAATTTTGCTTGTCTGTCATCAGACAACTAATAATGAAGTACCAGGTAACAACACCTGCTATACAAAATCATCCTCGAACTCCTCAGGAAATGCCCAAGCGTTTGAGGAGGGAAGGTGATCACTTCCTAATACAGCTTCCTGCAACTAAAAAGAAATGGGCTCAGAAGAGATGTGTTGTCTGTGCACAAACAAAATGACGGGAACAAAGACGCAAAGACACTCGGTTCATGTGCGAGGAATGTAAGATACCACTGTGCATAATATCTTGTTTCAAGGACTTGCACAGACTGCAAGAGTTCTAGAAACATGTCCAGTGACTGTACATATGTAAATATATAATAGAACACTAGTAATATACAAGATTTGTGCATATTTATTGTAGTAAAGAATACTGGTAAACAATATTATAATAATAACTTTAGTGCAGTTATTGTGTTTAATACAGTTAGTGTATATATATACATTATATACAGTATTGGTCTCACAGGCCACAAGTATTACTAGAAGAAGAAAAAATCAGAAAAGTAAAGAAAAAAGTACAAAAAACGTAAAATAAACAAATGCCGTCACCCAATCATTTTGGGTCAACTTCACGACTCCATATCTTGCCAAGTACTGATCAGAATTTTTTTTTTTTTCATTTCATTACGTTCACAAAATTATTATCTTTAATTCTGTAAGAAAACTTTTTTTTTTTTTTTTTTTTTTTTTTTTTTAATTTCTAAGACACTGGACCCTGAAACTGTTAAACCTAGATTAAGTAAAAGATCACTGTATTCATAATAAAGCATCAACTTAAACAATTTTAATTTTTAAGTAAGTTTATACCCACATGAAAGGCATAGAATTATTGGGGATATGGTTGAGGAGTATATTTGGAAAACTGGAATAAATAAAGGGGACGTAAATAGCATGCTGAAAATATCCAGCCAAGACAGGACTCACAGCAATGGTTTCAAGTTGGAAAAGTTTAGATTCAGGAAGGACATAGGAAAGCGCTGGTTTGGTAATAGAGTTGTGGATGAGTGGAACAAACTCCCGAGTACCGTCATAGAAGCTAAGACCTTGTGTAGTTTTAAAAATAGGCTGGATAAATACATGAGTAGGTGTGGATGAGTGGGAGTTGGACCTGACTAGCTTGTGCTACCAAGTCTGGTGCCATGCTCCTTCCTTAAGTGGAAGTGCCCTGACTAGGTGGCCATTGTTCTAGGCATGGACCTGCTTCGCATGGGTCAGTAGGCCTGTTGCAGTGTTCCTTCTTTCTTATGTTCTTATGTTCTTAAAGGCTTTGCTGTTTTTGCATACTGTTTTACATATGGAAATTAGTTTTATTTCCAAAGTACGTATTAGGAAACTATTAGGTTCAGTAACATAACAGTATAGTAGCATTGCTGTAAACCATAGTACTGGCTGAGGGTAGACAGATCCTGCTCTCACCCAACCACTGTCACTCATGTACAGTGGACCCCAGTTCACGAATTCATCGGTATCCGATAAATCCGGTATCCAAAGCATTATATCGGAAAAAATTTACCTCGGTTCCCGTTACAAAACCCGGTATGCGATACGATTCGTACGAGATGTGTCCAGTGTTTACAAGCCAGCCAGTGTGCGCACATCTAAAGATACATTTGGTACATTCTATAGTATCCATATTATCACTGTTTTTGGTGCTTGTTTCTGCAAAATAAGTCACCATGGGCCCCAAGAAAGCTTCTATTGCCAACCCATCGAGACCAAGGGTGCTAATGACTATTGAAATTAAGGAAATGTGTGCAAAGTGGCTTGAAGTGCAAACCTTTTTTGATGAAAATCACCCTGTCACAGCTACTGCAAGCCGTGTTGGCAACCTGTACACTGACAATGTTGTGAACCACTTTAGGAAAGTCATAAAGGAACGAGAGGTACAGGCCTCTATGGACAGACATGTTGTGTGACAGAAGTCCAGTGATTCTCAAGCTGATCCTAGTGGCATTAAAAGAAGAAGGGAAGTAACCCCAGAAAAGGGCTTGCTACCTCAAGTCCTAATGGAAGGGGATTCCCCTTCTAAACATTAAAAACTTCGACACTCTCCCCTCCTTCCATCCCATCAATCATCACCAGATCTTCATTAAAGGTAAGTGTCAATTATTCTATTGTGATTATTCTATTGTTATTATTGTTATTGTAATTATTATATTGCATTAAACTTAATATATCATGTGGTAAAATTTTTTTTTTCATATTTTGGGTGTCTTGCATGGATTAATTTCATTTCCATTATTTCTTATGGGGAATATTGATTCACTTTCCGATAATTTTGGTTTACGATGAGCTCTCAGGAACGGATTAATATCGTGTATTTGAATATCAAAAGGGTATACAATCCCGACAAGTTAAGTAAGACACATTGGCAACATTTAGGCATCTTTATTCCGAAACGTTTCGCCCTCACAGTAGGATTCATCAGTCGAGTACAGAAAGTAGGCAGGAGCAGTAGAGATGTGAAGATGATATAATCAGTCCATCACCCTTGAAGATGTAGATTTGAGGTTGTCAGTCATTCAGCCTGGAGAAGAATTCTGTTTCATAATCTGAAACATTGTTTCAGGCTATGAAACAGAATTCTTTACTTTGTACTCAACTACTGTGTAGGCGAAACGTTTCAGAATAAAGATACCTAAATGTTGCCTATGTGTCTCACTCATATACAGTGGACCCCCGGTTTACGATCAGCTCCCAATGCGACCAATTATGTAAGTGCGTTTGTATGTGTATGTTTGGGGGTCTGAAATGGACTAATCTAATTCACAATATTCCTTATGGGAACAAATTCGGTCAGTACTGGCACCTGAGCATACTTCTGGAATGAAATAATATCGTAAACCGGGGGTCCACTGTATTTGTCTCATCTAATTTTCAATGTACCCGAGGTATTAAATTTAATAATGATACCTGACAGTTTGTTCTACTCATCTACAACACTTTATTACACCAAAACTTCTTTTCTAAACCCATATGCTTCCAAAAGATACAGATAGCTGTCATCTATGAAATCAAATTTGTTTATTATGCACTATTTACCAGAAATATATAGTACACATTATACTATTTACCAGGAATATATAGTACATTCCAGAAGGCTGTTCATATCTTGAATTGTTCATAAGTCATTATTTTGATATTTTTCTATTGTTACAATTATTATTATTGTTTTTACTGTTATTATTGTTATTATTATTGGTCTGTCTCTGCACCATTGTTCATTGAAAACTTGAAGACAATATTGTACAGTATCAGTAATGTACTGATACTGTACAGTCTGTTCATATGTCCGAATGTCTGTTCATATGTCCAAATGTTCATAACTCAAATGTCCATAATTTCTTTCAGATTTTTACAAGAAATGTGATTTATCAAATGCCAGGAGATTGGAGAGAGGCATTAACTGAACTTCCCATTGATGAATTAAACTTGATTCCCCAGTGTAAGAGCCAGGTAAATGTACTTTTTTAATTTGTCAACTTTCACCTATATGAAGCTTTAAAATATCTAACTCTAGACATTAATTTTAACTTTTCATATTTAATTTTAGATTTAAAAAATATTTAAATTAGCTTCTTTGAGTTACCCTGCTTTGGTGGGAAATGATTAATAAATTAATTTTTTATCATGTATAATTGCTGAGGTGTAAAAACAGAAATTTTGCTCAATACATGTCTCATTCCCAGCAGACAGAGGATGAAGCCTCCACATGTCTTGTGCTGCATGACCCACTTGGGTTTAGTGCTTAACATGAATTAATTATTTGCAGCATATACAGTAACTTCACAGATCCTTATAATACAGGTCCACCATCACAAATCCGGCAATCAGTTATTCGGTTCCTTCAGTTATTCGGCACTAGTTTTGGCTAGCATAATTTAAAATTTCCAGGGTCGCCACACCAACCTGCTGGTACTGTTTGGTGGCGCTACTTGCTGCACAAGTCATTCCAATTTCTTTTTCTCCATTTATTGTTTTAACCTGCTTACTTTTAGCCCTAGCCATGGTTCCAATGAATAAAAGAAATGCTTCTCATTATGTAAAGCACCTACACAGTACATTATCCATTAAAGATAAGGTGGCTTTGAAGCCACTGTCGGTTGCCATGAGCTCAGTCTCATGAAGCAGGAGAATATGCTTTATTATTACGCTAATATCAACACTACAGCTTATTTGCCTATCACAATTGATCTAATATGACATAAGAAACAATATAAATAACATAAAACATGTTAAATACTCCAGAATGAATAATATTTGGCATAACACCTCCAGATCTTACAAAAATAAAAGTGAATATGTAATTGTTGTTCATTGTCATAATGTTCACCTGTCAGTGTGATTGTGACTATTTGAGTACTATTTCAGTACCTAATATTAGTGTCAGAACAAAGATTGGCTATGAAATCACAAGAACTATTATAAAGTGGAGATGGGAAGTACAGCACCTGCACCCTGAAGGAGGGGTGTTAATATTGTAGTTTAAAAACTGTAGTGTAAAGCACCCTTCTGGCAAGACAGTGATGGAGTGAGTGATGGTGAAAGTTTTTCTTTTTCGGGCCACCCTGCCTTGGTGGGAATTGGCCAGTGTGTTAATAAAAAAATAAAATAAAAAAATAAAAATTATATAAATTAAAATAAAAACGAGAAAAAAGGTATATCAGCAACACTTTTGCAAGCGGCAGGACTCGATGTTGCCATCAAGTGAGCATCCAGTGCCAACTTCGCGGTCTTATATCTTTATATCTCAGTAAGTACTGGTCATAATTTTTTTTTTTTTACATTATGTAAAAAAAATTCCTCTTTGTTTTAATTTTTTTTTTTTCCAAATATTTGGAGCACTGGGCAGGAGAACGTAGACCTATGTTTGGACAGTTAAGGGGTTAATTGTACAAACTGATATTTCATTAAGGCCATGGGCTCTCGCTATATCCACCACATGTGAGCCACTCTTAAGCTTGTCTAATATCTCGATTTTCTTTGCAACTCTGAGACTTAAACTCTTAATCCCTTTCTTGCCACTTTCAGCAACACTTGTGTGCCTACTGGGTGCCATGATTGCTTGGCAGATACAAGATATGGCAATTAAAATATCAAAACACAATCCACAAACAAAGCTAGCTAATAGATGCATATGAACGGAAGGCTGGGACGGGGAAAGTGCTGTGTCTCCCGTGTGGAGACAGTGATGTCACTCACAGCCAAGCGGTGTCCTGAGCTAGGGAAATATCCCACGGGCAATGCTCCAAATTTTTCCTCGTCCCACAAACTGAACCGTATTAAGTTAATATTACGAATTGTTGAATAAAATTATGCCACAATTTTACAGTAGTGTAATAACCAAAACATGCCAAATAAATCCTTGTAATATAATGGTCTACTGTACTTAACTCCATGCTGGCTTCATCACACTACACCCATGCACCACTCGCATGACTGCAATGTCATTCCTCTAGGATCATTCAAATATGTTGACATTTTTACAGTTATGGAGTATTTTTCTTACAGAGAACCTATATTAACATAAAATGTAGTAACTGCATAACACTGCATTAAAAATTTAGGCCACAGAGAATAAAAAGGCACAATACCATGACTGGAACAATAAACATGAATGTACCTTTTATATTTTTTCACCATGCTAGCAATCTCCCACTGAGGTAGGGTGACCCAAAAAAGGCAACTCATTCACCCTAATTCAATAACTTCCTTTCCCATCCCTTGCTCATTCCCTTACCTCTCCCCCTTGCCATTATACACTATGTATTATGTTACGAGTATGAATTATAATTACAGTGGACCCCTGAGTTTCGTGATTAATCCGTTCCAGAGAGCCTGCCGAAAGTCAAAATTCACGAAACTCGAAACTATTTTCCCCACAAGAAATAACGGAAATAAAATTAATCCGTTCCAGACACCCAAAAATATTTAAATAAAATTTTTTTTTTTCAAATTAAATAAAGATTTATATACTAAAATCAATGAGAAATCAAGTACATACATATAAAAAATAATAACATTATGCTTACCTTTACTGAAGACTTCTGGGTGGATGGAAGATGGGAGGAAGTTGTACACTATTGTTTGGAAGGAGAATCTCCTTCCATTAGGACTTTAGGTAGCAAGTCCTTATCTGGGGTTACTCCCTTCTTCTTTTAATGCCACTGGGAACAACATGAGAGTCACTGTACCCCTGTCGCACAAAATATCTGTCCATAGAGGTCTTTTTCTGGCGTTTCTTTAAGATTTCCCTGAAGTGGGACACAACACTGTCATTGTACATGTTGCAGATATGGCTTGTTTCAGCTTGGTCAGGGTGATACTTTTCAACAAAACTTTGCAACTCATTCCACATTCTACACATGTCCTTAATCACTGAAGAAGGAACCTCCTTCACTCCCTCTTCCTCCTCCTCTAAAGCAAGTTCTTCAGCTGTGGTCTGATGCTGTTCCAGTTGAAGCTCTTGCAGTTCGTCAGTGGTTAGCTCTTCCCTGTGGTCCTCCACCAACTCTTCCACATCCCTGTCACTCACCTCCTACTACATGGACTTGCCCAATGCCACAACACCTTCCACAACAGGCAGAGGGTCGGCAGGGACAGGGTCTGCCTCAAACCCTTCAAAATCCCTTTGGATCGTGTTCCTCACTTTATTTACCAAAGGGCTTGCACTAGCTTTCCTTGGGTCCATGATGACTTATTTAGCAGTTGCAAGCACAAAAAACAATGGATTACGTATTATGAAATGTATTGTATGAACCCGTGGGGTGATGGTCACGTGTTGGTAAGCAATGGCACACTGAGCGTGAATGGCGTGGGAGACTGGCTTGGTGTGCGCGGTGACGGGTGGATGGGTACTGGACGGTGCCAAAACACGAGTCTAATCACGAAACTCGAGGCCGAAGGTCGAATTTCACAAAACTCAATGCTGCCGAAACTCGAGGGTCCACTGTACATATATTTTTTTAACATACCAGCCATCTCCCACTGGGGCAAGACAACCCAAAAAAAAGGAAAACTAGTTTATCTTTTTATATTTAGTAATTTATACAGAAGGGTTTACTAGCCTTTTGCCCCCAGCATTTTAGTCACCTCATACAGCACGCATGGCTTACAGAGGAAGACTTCATTTCTACTTCCCCATGGAGATAAGTGGAAATAAATAAGAAGAACTGTTAAGTAAATAGAAGAAAACTCAGATGGGTGTGTACATATGTGTGTGCATGCATGCATGTGCAGTGTGACCTAAGTGTTAGTAGAGGTACCAAGATATACCTGTTATTTTGCAAGTTTTTGAGACAGAAAAGATAACAGCAATCCTTCCATTGTAAAACAATTACATGTTTCACAATCACTTGGCAGGAGGGTAGTAACCTCCCTTGGTGGTTGCTGTCTACCAACCTACTATCACAGGAGGGTAGTACCTCCCTTGGTGGTTGTTGTCTACCAAACTACTATCACAAGAAGGTAGTGCCTCCCTTGGTGGTTGCTGTCTACCAACATACTATCACAGGAGGGTAGTACCTCCCTGTGTGGTTGCTGTCTACCAACCTACTATCACAGAAGGGTAGTACCTCCCTAGGTGGTTGCTGTCTACCAACTTACTAGTGACGATAGGAATGAGAGAGGAAAACATGCACCAACAGGGAATACAGCCACAAAAATCCAAGGCAAACGGAAACCAAGCCTGTGCACACATTATGCACTTGGTATCTGCAGGCATGGGATATTTGGAAAAACAGATGGGACGTGCAACTTTGACCACCCTAGAAAATGCCGTGCCCATATGACAACAGGAAAATGCAAACTCCCATCCTGTAAGCTTTTTCACCCTGAAATGTGTCCCTCTTCAGTACAGGAAAGACAGTGCTATAAGTTATATTGCCATGCACACCATCTAAAGGGGACAAAAAGATACAAAACATCCAGACCATGGGTAGCCACAGCCACTCAAGAGGGAGAAGTTTTTAAGTGCCAGGAAGGAAAAAAACTGGCAGGAAATGGCAGAAATCGTATGCCAAATCCAGTCATTTATGGAGTGGAATCACAGTCGATGGCCTCCACTCCAGACCAACAGATACAGATATTAGTGCTGGAAAAAAGTCCCCTCCAGTACCATCAGTACCACCAATCCTATGACATTCTTCTTTGCAAATATACAAGGTCTAAAGCCAGCAGCGAACAACAAAATACCTTTCATTCGTGGACTGCTTGCAGAGGCAAATGCAATGTTCATGGCTTTCACAGAGACCCACATAAAGAATCACTTGGACAACGAAATATGGATCCCAGGTTATAACCTATACAGATGCGCAGAGTCACTTATTTGCACAGAACTGCTAAATTCCTCAAATGATGTAGTTGAAGTTTTAGCAGTAAAGATCGAGAACCAAAATCTAGTCATTGTGATAATCTACAAGCCTCTGGATACAACGTCCCAACAATTCCAGGAGCAGCTGTTGAAAATTGACCACTGTCTGGAAAACCTTCCAGCTCCTGCCCCCAACATCTTGCTCCTGGGGGATTTCAACTTAAGGCACCTAAAATGGAGGAATATAGCAAATAATATTGTTGCAGTGATAACACCAGGAGGCAGCTCAGACGAGAACTCGCACACACGAGATTTTAAATCTCTGCACAAAATTCAACTTAAACCAGCAAATAATAGAGCCTACTAGATTGGAGAATACACTGGACCTCATCTTCACTAACAATGATGATCTGATACGATATGTCACCATATCAAAAACAATATACTCGGATCACAACATAATTGAGGTTCTGACATGTATGCGCGGAGCCCCAGACTGACAAAATGGGATCAGTCATGAGGGAGCATTCACCAAATTCAACTTCAATAAGAACAACATAAAGTGGGACCAAGTAAACCAAGACCTAAATGATATAAGCTGGGCAGATAGACTAAGCAACACAGACCCCAACTTATGACTAGAACAGATTAACTCTGTGGCACTTGATGTATGCTCAAGGCATATTCCTTTAAGAAAAAAGAGGAGTAGATGTAAAATAGAAAGAGACAGGTGCTCCCTTTACAGGCGATGGAAAAGAATAACAGAGCTGCTAAAAGAGGCCAATATATCTGCAATGCATAGGGAGATACTGGTCAGAGAAACAGGAAACATCGAACTTAAGCTAAAGGAATCTTATAGGAGTCAGGAATTGCGGGAAGAATTAAAAGCCAAACCTACTCTCACAGGAGGGTAGTACCTCCCTGTGTGGTTGCTGTCTACCAACCTACTATCACAGGAGGGTACTAACTCCCTGGGTGGTTGCTGTCTACCAACCTACTATCACAGGAGGGTAGTACCTCCCTGTGTGGTTGCTGTCACCAACCTACTATCATAGGAGGGTAGTAACTCCCTTGATGGTTGCTGTCTACCAACCTACTATCACAGGAGAGTATTATCTCCCTGGGTGGTTGCTGTCTACCAACCTACTATCACAGGAGGGTAGTACCTCCTTGAGTGGTTGCTCTCTACCAACCTACTATCATGGGAGAGTAGTACCTCCCTTGGTGGTTGCTGTCTCCAACCTACTATCACAGGAGGGTAGTACCTCCCTAGTTGGTTGCTGTCTACCAGCCTACTATCACAGGAAGATAGTACCTCCCTGGTTGGTTGCTGTCTACCACCTACTGTCACAGGAGGGTAGTACTTCCCTGGGTGGTTGCTGTCTACCAGCCTACTATCACAGGAGGGTAGTACCTACCTGGGTGGTTGCTGTCTACTAACCTACTAGCACAGGAAGGTATTACCTCTCTAGGTGGTTGCTGTCTACCAACCTACTGTCACAGGAGGGTAGTACCTCCTTAGGTGGTTGCTGTCTACCAACCTTCTGTCACAGGAGGGTAGTACCTCCTTGAGTGGTTGCTCTCTACCAACCTACTATCATGGGAGAGTAGTACCTCCCTTGGTGGTTGCTGTCTCCAACCTACTATCACAGGAGGGTAGTACCTCCCTAGTTGGTTGCTGTCTACCAGCCTACTATCACAGGAAGATAGTACCTCCCTGGGTGGTTGCTGTCTACCAACCTACTGTCACAGGAGGGTAGTACCTACCTGGGTGGTTGCTGTCTACTAACCTACTATCACAGGAAGGTATTACCTCTCTAGGTGGTTGCTGTCTACCAACCTACTGTCACAGGAGGGTAGTACCTCCTTAGGTGGTTGCTGTCTACCAACCTTCTGTCACAGGAGGGTAGTACCTCCCTGAGTGGTTGCTGTCTACCAACCTATTATCACAGGAGGGTAGTACCTCCCTGGTGGTTGCTGTCTACCAACCTACTGTCACAGGAGGGTAGTACCTCTCTGGGTGGTTTCTGTCTACCAACCTACTATCATAGGAGGGTAGTACCTTCTTAGGTGGTTGCTGTCTACCAACCTACTATCACAGGATGGTAGTACCTCCCTGGGTGGTTGCTGTCTACCAATCTACTATCACACTAGGGTATTACCTCCCTAGGTGGTTGCTGTCTACCAACCTACTATCACAGGAGGGTAGTACCTCCCTAGGTGGTTGCTGTCTACCAACTTTCTATCACAGGACAGTAGTACCTCCCTGGGTGGATGCTGTCTACCATCCTACTATCACAGGAGGGTAATACCTCCCTGGGTGGTTGCTGTCTACCAACCTACTATAACAAGAGGGTAGTACCTCCCTCAGTGGTTGCTGTCTACCAACCTACTATCACAGGAGGGTATTACCTCCCTAGGTGGTTGCTGTCTACCAACCTACTATCACAGGAGGGTAGTACCTCCCTGTGTGGTTGCTGTCTACCAACCTGCTCTCACAGGAGGGTAGTACCTCCCTGTGTGGTTGCTGTCTATCAGACTACTATCACAGGAGTGTAGTACCTATCTGGGTGGTTGCTGTCTACCAATCTACTATCACAGGAGGGTAGTACCACCCTGTGTGGTTGCTGTCTACCAACCTGCTCTCACAGGAGGGTAGTACCTCCCTGTGTGGTTGCTGTCTATCAGACTACTATCACAGGAGGGTAGTATCTCTCTGGGTGGTTGCTGTCTACCAACCTACTATCACAGGAGGGTACTAACTTCCTGGGTGGTTGCTGTCTACCAACCTACTATCACAGGAGGGTAGTACCTCCCTGAGTGGTTGCTGTCAACCAACCTACTATCATGGGAGGGTAGTACCTCCCTGTGTGGTTGCTGTCACCAACCTACTATCATAGGAGGGTAGTAACTCCCTTGGTGGTTGCCATCTACCAATCTACTATCACAGGAGAGTATTATCTCCCTGTGTGGTTGCTGTCTACCAGCCTACTATCACAGGAGGGTAGTACCTCCTTGAGTGGTTGCTGTCTACCAACCTACTATCATGGGAGAGTAGTACCTCCCTTGGTGGTTGGTGTCTCCAACGTACTATCACAGGAGGGTAGTACCTCCCTAGGTGGTTGCTGTCTACCAACCTACTATCACAGGAGGGTAGTACCTCCCTAGGTGGTTGCTTTCTACCAACTTTCTATCACAGGAGGGTAGTACCTCCCTGGGTGGTTGCTGTCTACCAATGTACTATCACAGGAGGGTAGTACCTCCCTGGGTGGTTGCTGTCTACCAACCTACTATCACAAGAGGGTAGTACCTCCCTCGGTGGTTGCTGTCTTCCAACCTACTATCACAGGAGAGTAGCACCTCCCTACGTGGTTGCTGTCTTCCAACATACTATTACAGGAGGGTCATACCTTCCTAGGTGGTTGCTGTCTACTACTCTGTCACAAAGGTATCCTCCTTGGTGCTGTCTACAACTACTATCACAAAGTTTAGTACCTCCATGGGTGGTGCTGTACTACCAACCAATCCAGGAAGGATGCCTCCGGGTGTTGCTGTCTACCAACCTACTATCACAGGGGTAGTAACCTCTATGATGTGTTACCAACCTTCTCTTATAATTTCATATGTTCTCTAATATTACTATCAGGCTTCCTCTTATGTAATATTAAGTGGTATGATGGAACTATAGAATCCGAACAATCCCGACAATTGAGATGTTTGGGAAAGGACTAAACTGTGCCTCTCTTTATTATAAATAGTCTGCAATATCAGGTGTGGTCACTTCCATGGGTGGTATTATACCCTTGATAGACTAGACCTTTAACTGTCAATAAGATACACTCTTGCCTGCATAAGTTGTAACAAAGTATACTTGTTTGTAAAGTCAAACTTTTCTCTCACGTTTACATGATATTTTAACGTGTGTTATTTTTAGGACTATTGGCCAACTTCCCTTCAGTCGTTTTTGGAGAGATGTAAAAGACTTTCACTGCAGCAGTTGGTGCTACACCAATATGGGCCATCTACAGCACCATTAACACACACTTCCCACACACTACAGCTGCCTCAAGAATTTTCTCGTGGAATGTCGCTGAAAAAGAGGCATGAAGTCTCAGCTCTGTTGAGCTTAATGAAGAACCTTTCAGAAAGCACTCAAAGTTCTCACGTCTTGGATGTTGGAAGTGGCATAGTGAGTACAGTCTGAATAACTTAGTTTGCTTAGATAAACATGTCGTGACCATTAATTGACGAAAGATGGGAAATCACTTGGGCCGAAAAATGAAATCACAGGTAAAAGAGATCTGTTTATTTTGTCTTCAGTAGATGATCTCTTAGGCCATAATACAACAGATTTATATTACCAGTTTTATTTCTTGATCCAAATGATTTTGCCTTTCATTCCTTGCTTTGATTTTTAGGTTTTAAATTACAATAGAGAACTGAATAACATGGTTATATTTCTGAAAACCAGCGTGTTACCTAAAGCCTTATTAATCAGATTGAAAACATGTGAAAATAAGATTAAATTTTGAAACCTAAAATAAAGTTAAATTACTTTTTATTAAGTTCCATAATTTAAAAAAATGTTTTTCATAACTTAATTGTAGTTGGATGAAATTGATGAATATTTAGGTACAGGGACGGCCTGCTTTGCAGTGCTTCGTTTTACACCATTTTGCTAATACAGTAATTTTCAATTATACATATTCTTCATTTATTCAGACTTCATATAATAAATATATTCATCACTCACTATAAGCTAAGCTAAAAAATATTTTAAGGTAAGTAATGAGTCCTGGGTAGTAGGTGGGTAGACAGCAACCGTCCGTGGAGGAACTACTGTTCCACTAAGTAAGTGTAAAGTTGAAACCTGTAATTGGTGTCTTTTTTCTGTCTCATGAACATGCAAGATTTCAGGTACATCTTGCTACTTCTACTTACACTTAGGTCACACTACACATACATGTACAAGCATATATATACACACCCCTCTGGTTTTCTTCTATTTTCTTACTAGGTCTTGTTCTTGTTTATTCCCTCTTATCTCAATGGGGAAAGTGGAACAGAATTATTCCTCTGTAAGCCATGTGTGTCATAAGAGGCGAGTAACATGCCAGGAACAAAGGGCTAGTAACCCCTTTTCCCATATACATTATAAAAATTAAAAAGAGAAACTTCTGTTTTTCTTTTTGGGCCACCCTACCTCAGTGGGATATGGCCGGTTTGTTGAAAGAAGAAGTAATGAGTGTGCTGTATATGTGTTTTTTAGACCCAGCTTTATTACTCTATTAATATATGGTAGTGTAAACATGTTATCAGGCTTTTCTATGCAATTTTTGATTTACAGCAATAACCTGGAACTTAACCTGCTGTATAAGTGGGGTCCTCCTGTATATATTACTAAAAAAAAACTATTCCTGTTCAGTGGAGTACAGTATATTATACAATTTTGTGACTGAAATATATGAGCTACTTATAGAAGACCCTTATGCAAGGCATTTTGGGCAGCCTTATAACTAAATTAGGATTACAGGTTGGCCATCACTAATCTGGCAATCAGTACTCCAGTTCCATCAGTAATCTGGCACTAATTTCAGGTAGCATAACCTCAAATTTCTGGTGTTGCCACACCAACCTGCTACTACTGTTTGGTGGCTCTACTTGCTACATAAGTCATTCCAATTTCTTTTTCTCCATTTATTGTTATGATCTGCTCACTTTAGCCCTAGCCATGATTCCAATGAATAAAAGAAATGCTTCTCATTGCGTATAGCACATACTCCGTACATTGTCCATAAAAGATAAGGTGGTTTTGAAGTCACTGTCAGTCACCATGAGCTCAGCTCACCCAGATAAGCTGTGACTGGTAAATTTGGACCTACATATGAGAGAACATAAGAACATAAGAAAGGAGGAACACTGCAGCAGGCCTGTTGGCCCATACTAGGCAGGTCCTTTACAATTCATCCCACTAACAAAACATTTGCCCAACCCAATTTTCAATGCTACCCAAGAAATAAGCTCTGGTATGAAAGTCCCACTCAAATCCAACCCTTCCCACTCATGTACTTATCCAACCTAAATTTGAAACTACCCAAAGTCCTAGCCTCAATAACCCAACTAGGTAGACTGTTCCACTCATCAACTACCCTATTTCCAAACCAATACTTTCCTATGTCCTTTCTAAATCTAAACTTATCCAATTTAAATCCATTACTGCGGGTTCTCTCTTGGAGAGATATCCTCAAGACCTTGTCAATATCCCCCTTATTAATACCCATCCTCCACTTATACACTTAGATCAGGTCTCCCCTCATTCTTCGTCTAACAAGTGAATGTAACTCAAGAGTCTTCAATCTTTCTTCATAAGGAAGATTTCTAATGCTATGTATTAATTTAGTCATCCTACGCTGAATGTTTTCTAACGAATTTATATCCATTCTGTAATATGGAGACCAGAATTGAGCTGCATAATCTAGGTGAGGCCTTACTAATGATGTATAAAGCTGCAGTATGACCTCTGGACTTCTGTTGCTTACACTTCTTGATATAAATCCCAGTAATCTATTTGCCTTATTACGTACGCTCAGGCATTGCTGTCTTGGTTTAAGGTTGCTGCTTACCATAACCCCCAAGTCCTTTTCGCAGTCTTAAGTTCTACATTATTTAACTTATAAGTGCTAGGGTTATGGACACTCCCGAGCTTCAGAACCTTGCATTTATCTACATTGAACTGCATCTGCCACTTTTCTGACCAAGAATAGAGTTTGTCTAAATCCTCCTGAAGTTCCCTAACATCTACGTTTGAATCAATTATCCTACCTATCTTTGTGTCATCGGCGAATTTGCTCATATCACTAGTAATTCCTTCATCAAGATCATTGATATATATTATAAACAACAACGGGCCCAAGACTGATCCCTGTGGAACGCCACTTGTTACTGAACCCCACTCGGATTTAACCCCATTTATGGACACTCTCTGCTTCCTGTCTGTGAGCCATGATTCGATCCACGAGAGCACCCTTCCCCCAATGCCATGAGCTGCTACTTTCTTTAACAGTCTTTGGTGCGGAACTCTATCAAATGCCTTACTAAAATCTAAGTAAATGATATCAAATTCTTCATCGTGGTCAACAGCCTCAAAAGCTTTACTGAAGAAAGTTAATAAATTAGTTAGACAAGACCGGCCTCTTGTGAATCCATGCTGAGTATCATTAATCAAGCTATGCTTATCGAGATGGCTTCTTATAATCTCAGCTATAATTGACTCTAGTAATTTGCCTACAATTGAGGTCAGGCTTACTGGGCGGTAATTTGACGGTAACGACTTGTCCCCTGTTTTAAAAATAGGAATTACATTAGCCATCTTCAACATATCAGACACTACACCTGTTTGAAGAGATAAATTAAAAATATTAGTTAATGGTTCACAGAGTTCCATTTTGCATTCCTTAAGAACCCTTGAAAAAACCTCATCAGGACCCTGACTTATTTTGCTTCAGTCGGTCTATCTCTTCACAACCATTTCACTGTGACTGTGAAAGTTACATAATTTATCTTCTTTTTGGCCCACTAAAAAATTTAAATTTTTGGAAATTATTAGTGTCTTCCTGTGTAAAAAACTGAGAGAAAAAAATTTTTTAAAAACGGCACATTTTATTCTCTTTTTTCAGTAAATGCCCATATTATTTTTTAAAGGGGGCCTATCTTATCGCTACTTTTTTCTCTATATACCTGGAAAAAACTTTTTGGGTTAGTTTTAGAATCCCTAGCAACTTTAATTTCATAGTCCCTTTAGCTTTTCTTATCCCCTTTTTAATGTCCCTCTTAATATCAATATACTGATTCATAAGATGACCCTCACCTCTTTTGATACGCCTATAAATTCCTTTCTTATGCCCTAGTAGATATTTCAACCTATTATTCATCCATTTTGGGTCATTTCTATTTGATCTAATTTCTTTATAAGGGATAAATGTTCTTTGAGCAGCATGTATTGTGTTCAGAAAACTGTCATATTGATAGCTCTCTTCGTTACCCCAGTCAACAGATGATAAGTGTTCTCTAAGCCCATTGTAATCTGCTAAGCAAAAATCTGGGACCGTTACTGAGTTATCCCTACTATCATACTTCCATTCAATGCTAAATGTAATTGATTTGTGGTCGCTAGCACCCAGTTCCTCTGAAACTTCTAAATTATTAACAAGGATTCATTGTTTGCCAGAACTAAGTCAAGCAGGTTATTACCCCTTGTAGGTTCTGTCACAAATTGCTTCAAAAAACAATCCTGAACTACTTCTAAGAAGTGTATGATTCTAAATTCCCAGTCAAGAAATTCCAATCAATATGACTAAAGTTAAAGTCTCATAGAATTACTACATTATCGTGCCTTGTGGCCCTAACAATTTCCTCCCATAGTAGTCTCCCCTGGTCCCTATCTAAATTTGGGGGATGGTATATCACACCTAAAATTAATTTTTCATGCCCTCTGAAAATTCTATCCAAACAGACTCTGTATGTGTTACTTCAGACTTAATACCCGTTTTTATGCAACAGTTTCAAGCGATCTCCGGACATACAATGCCACCCCACCCCCCTTCCCGATACTTCTAACTACTTGGAACAATTAAAACCCTGAATGTGACATTCCGCAGGCATGTCTCGACTTTTTGAATTAAACCACGTCTCAGTTAAGGCAATACATCAATGTTGCCTGCACTAGCAACTAATCTCAACTCGTCCATCTTATTCCTAGCACTACGCTATTAGCATAATAAACATTAAAAGACTCTCCTTCTCTTACCCTTCCTGCTCATTTTCTGTTTTTCTACTAAACCTATTACTGTCCTTATCACCCAGTGTCACTGGCTTTTCAATATCTACCTCGTTCTGCTTATTACTAGTTTCCCCTAGAACTCATAATATTACTACACTGGGATTCACTGTTTTTCCTGCCAAAACCCATACCACTAACTATTCCTAGTTTAAAGTCCTAACAGCTCCCTCCACTGCAGTTGCCAGTGCTCCCACCCAGACCTAGAAGTGATCCCCATCCCTGGCATACATGTCATTTCTGCCATAGAAGAGTCCCAGTTGTCAATGAATGTTAACCGCATTTTCCTTACAGTATTTGTCCAGCCAGCAATTGACACCAATTGCCCTGGACAACCATTCATTTCCAACTCC